TGGCTTCCGCTTACTGTGCCTTACAATTGAATTTCTAATTTCAAAATTTTTGAGTTTCCGAATTCACCAAAATTTGTGAAAGTTTTGCATACTATCAATTTTCTTCGCGGAATATTTGATTTCTCAAATTTTCAAAATTTCCAATACTGAAAAAATATTTTTATGCTCTGAAATCCGGAGTATGTGAACTCCCGATTTTCTGATGCTTCACATTTTGGATACGTCAGGTTTGCTGAAATTTCTGGTCTCCGAAAATTCTGAAATTCGAAATATTCGAATTTTGAAAAACAGTCGGCTTGCGCCCATCCGGGCTGAACCTCGCTAACAGTACCCGTTATCTTATAGACAGGTTTTGTCTTTTTTACAGGGACTATTTTTTCATAGTCTATTAGGAAATTTCGAATTTCGATATTTCGGTTATTCAGAATTTCCAGAATTCGGAAAGTCAGAAGTAAGGATATCCGGAAATTGGAAAAGTAAGACACTTGGAAGTTCAGAGATTAGTAAATTTTTAAAAATCAGATGTAGGAAAACATTAATTTTGAAATCTAGAAAATTGTTTGAATCTGTTTATCTCAAATATCGAAATTTGGTATATAAGATTTTAAAGAATCGGAAAATTTCGAAATTCGCATACTTACTAAATGCCGGGCTGGCCTGAGACGGCCCTGTCGTCAAAATCAATAGAATTTCGAAAAAGTTTAGAATCGAGAATTTGAGAACCTGAAAAATTGGAAATTCAGAAATTCGACTTTTCGAAAAACATTCTAGTCGAAAAGTTTTGGAACTTTGAAAAATCAGAAATTTAGATTTGAGAATTCGAAAATTTAGAAACACCGAGATTTGAAAACCTGAAAAGTTGGAAAATCTTAAACTTTGAAATTTTTTGGCAAATTCGGTGAATAAGATCGCAGAAATGTATATATTCCGAAGTTTAAAAATTATGAAATTAAGTTCGCAAATTTTAAAAATTATTTTGAATTCTGAAAACTCGAGTGATCCAGAAAGGGCGATGTTATTTTTCCTCGCATTCTCTTTCTTTCCTTTTTTCTTTTATTCTCTTTATTTTCCCCTGTTTCAGAATTTTTTCTCCCTTTCAAATCTTTAAAACCCATGCGAAAAGAATAATTCTAGAAAATCACCTTTCTCTCAGAAATAGCGTGGATAAGAAAAAAATTTAGGCGGGTAGACGGGAATGACGTAAATATTTCTTCAATATTTTTCTAAAAATTTGCACTGTAGAAATAGAAGAACGTCTCCAGAAGACGTCAGAAACAAAATTTAGAAGTATAAAATACTCGGGCATCATCTCGCTGCTATTTCGGGTCATCTGTGAAAATTTGAGAAATTTTGGTCCATTCAGGACTACGCTAGGGTCGACAAACCGGGAACAAACGGACACACTCACTCACACACAGAATTTGGTGATTGTTAATAGTAAAGATTTCCACTTTTGCCCAAATTTTTCCGTTTTGTTATACTTTAGGCTCACAATCAGACTGAACTTTTTCTATTTATGGTAAGAACTTCCAAAAAGCGCAAAACTTGAAAATCTTGGTGCCAGGACTAACATACAAAGAATAAATAAAAAAAGTAGCCTAGCTACTTCAACCAACAACTATGCCGACGTCACCACTACAAAGACAGCTATCGAATTTGTGGAATGATTTTAAAAGTACCAGAAGGCGCCAATCTACTGATTAACTTTCCGTACTTATACATGCACACCGCACAAACATTAAATTAGTCTTATTTATTATCCACTAGTTTTGATTGGCACATAGTGATGGAAATATGATAAATTAAGAGAAACAAGTAGAACAAAAGAAACAACGAAAAATGAGATTTGTTTTTACAAAGGACGCTTGTACACGAAACAGATAACACCGTCTTTTTGGGCTTCGCAATGTTCTGTTGTGCTGACGAGATACGTGAATCCGGTAGTGGAGCAGATTACGTCGACGCTACTGTCTGGGAATTGTTGAAGAGCGTTTTCATGGATCGCCTTCTTTGAAGCTAGAGCGTCATTTGTAGCAATGTTCTAAAATTTTTTTTCATAAAAGAACGATTATTTTTTAATCTCTGTTTTTTCGAGGCCCTACTAATTCCGAGGAAAAGAATGTTCCGGAAAAAGTGAGCGAAGTTTAAATTGCAAGCCTAGAAGGGTTTTATCATAACCGCTTGCAAATGTGCAAAAAAACTTTGCGGCTAAGCCGTGCGTAGCTTGTATTTTGAGCCCCGCCCACGTTTCCTTCGAAATTACTTCCTTGGAACTTGTAGGGACTCGTACATTTTTCGGGACGTCGTGTAAACACACTCAATGCGATAAACCGTAATTCTACAGTAAAATATTGTAGCGTTGGTCTCGACGCAAAAGCTTCAAATTGAAATGCCGAGCTTTACGGTTTCGTGGAATTCCAACGGAAAAAGGGTGGGGAAAATTATTTGTAAAACTTTCCGGAAAAAACACAGTGAAAGAATTTTTTTTTGAATCACTTACCGATAAAACAAGCTTTTGAAGTATTTTACTATTACACTTCTCATCTGTCACTGCAGTTTTAGCAGCTCTCGCCTTGAACTCTCCCGAACTAGCTGACTCAGCATCTTCGGTATCTTCTGAATTTCCGGTTGCTGCTTGTTCCTGTGCAGCGATCTCCTCTCCAAGTTGAGTATCCAATGGGTTTGCTGTAGCTTCCACGTGGGTTGGATTCGCCACTTGTTCCAACTCCTCCTCTACCAACTCGGTAGTCTCTGTTCCTGGTACTTTTCTGCTTCGAAGCATGATATATTTGACAGTTTGAGTGCATGGTTCCTTTGGCGAGTGGAATACCTGATCGGCTGGTGGTTCTCCATCTGACTCCGTAGCTTCATCAACTTGTGCTGCAGTGGCTCCGGCAGCAGCAGCACCGTATCCACCGCCCGAGCTTCCACCACTAGAGTATCCACTACCTCCACTGCTTCCTCCACTTGAATATCCTCCACCACTACTGCTACTTCCACCAGAGAAACCACTGCTGCTACTGCTAGAATATCCACTTCCACTAGATGGGATTGGTGGTGGTGGTCCAGAATATCCGGCTGATGGAGCTGGAAGAGATACTGGAGCTCTACCGTAACCTCCTCCACTGCTTCCACTTCCACCTGAAGCATAGCCACCACCACCACTGCCTCCTACACAGCCACCTTCTGAACAATTTTCTATTTTGCAAATCTGAAAAAATCTGAATCTCACCTCCACCACCTCCTCCGCCACATCCACCACCTCCGCCTCCTCCGCAGCCGCCTCCACCACCTCCTGAAAAGACAATGCTTGATTTTTTTCATTCATTGGGTTACTGTAACTACAGCTGAATTAATGTGAAAAAAACTTACCACATCCACCTCCTCCGCCACCAACATAAACTGGTTGTACTTGGGGACAATACGCTGCTGGTGGAGCTGGACAAGGTTGTGGCGGTGGGCAGACAGGACACGCTGGCGCTTGTGGACACTGAAAAGGAGTTTGGATTACTGTAGCTTTCTGTAAATTACAAATTTCAAATTAGAACTTTGTGCAAGGATTACT